TTTTACACAAAAAACCCAAATGGGTCATTTGACCCGGCTATTTTGGAAATTCTCCCGTATTCGGGGGCAGATCCAAGTTTGCATTAAGGGTATGCGGTTCATTTTTTTTTTTTTTATCAATTGTAATATCTAGCCAAGCCAAGTTGAGATCATTTGTTCAATGAACCATGCTTGGAGTACGATGTTCATTGATAATATTGTTGGCAATATATCAGGAGATATGTTGTCGTTGGACTGTTTGAAAAATGTGGATTTTTTCAATCAACAATTTTTTGATATATCAACCGATGTTGTCATCTAACTTTGCCAACCAATGTTGTCATCTAACTTTGTACAAATAATATAATTGTTGTACAATTTGCTGTACATCTAATTAATTGTTGACACAATATTTTTAGTGTGAGAGAGAATTTAACGAGCCGGTTTTTGTTGTCTTATTTAGCCCATATTTGGTGGTGATTAAATTCAATTTTTTAGTATATTTTGATAAAAATTAATAAATTATATGGTTGAAGAGTTGTTGACCCCATGAAATATGTAGTTGAAATTAATTGTTAACTTTACTTAAATTAATATTTTGAGTTTTAGTCCCTAACAAATAGGGATTTGAGCTGCTTATTTGATATTCATTATAATCTCTTTATAATTTAAAAGTTAGAATCGAACTTTAATTTTAACTATACATTTTACGAAACACACAATTATTATTGACTCATTCATCACTCATTTATATTTCAATAACTCATAATATACAATTAAACTTTTGTGGATGTCTCAGAATTTTGCGAAACCAATGTATGGGATGGACTTGTAACGGAATTCTATATTAGGGTTAATCCATTTGTACATAATGGTTTGTACATAATTGATTACCCCTCTCACATAATTCGTATGGCTCGCGTGTATTTAAAAATTTTGACAATGTGGTCCACATCTCCATTGTGAGTAGTAGGTAAAAAATTCGATATGTGTAGAATGAATCTCTATATTATTTATTTGTAATGAATTATAGAGAACGTGGAATGATCAGTGTCGACGCTAAGATTTTAGGGCCTTAGGCCAACTTTAAATATAAGGCCCTATAAATTTTAAATTTTGGGATTTATAAAAAACAATCTTTCCAGAATTGTATTAAAAATATCTTAAGTTAAAGGTTAAAAATTGTATCATATGTTTGTAATTTTAGTGGAATTATGGACCGCTGATGATTATTGATGTAGAGGTCAACCTTTATTGACGATAATATTATCCATGCTTAGATCATTAATCACCGACAAAGAAAGCGTCGATAAAAGATGTTGAGTGACGTGTAAAAACAATTAAAAACGTTTTTTTACAAGAAGTTTGCAGCATCTATTGTTCTGCATTAAAATGAGAATAATTAGAATATGCAACGACGGCCTTGTAGTATAAAGCAGTCAATCAAAAGATATCGACGAATTGCTAGAAAAATAGAAAATTTCAGATGTAAAAAGTAAAATATTTATTTTTGAAAAAGTTACGTTGCTGTTACAACATTTTGTTGGTTAATTAGCATATTCAACTAGAACAATTAATAACGTGGACTGTGTTAAAGAGAATAAAAATATTAAATGAAAGAGAGACGGATTTCAATTAAACCACCTATAGTCTTTATTTTACAGTGGGACAATCAACTTATACGACTTTGTTGCGAATACAATCAACAAAATAGTTGGGAATTTTTATTTTAGTTTATTTAAATATAAAACATTTTTTTTTGGGACTCATTTGGTCCAAGATAATATTGGCATAGTCCAATAATTTGTCCTTTTCCATATTTATTATATGTAATATTAATTATGGACTCACACTAGGTGATGAACGCAGTTCGATTTGAACGGTTTGTGCCATATTTTCAACTCAAATCATTTCATGCGATTTGAAATTTTTTTCAAACCAAACCAAACCATAATTCGCGAGGTGATTCAGTTTTAATCCGCGGTTTACCTATTGACATTATAATAATATATTTAAAATAAGTTAACATATAATTTTAAACGAGAACTAATAATGTTAAATTACATTTATCTTTCATACGAAACCCATGAATAAATTATTTTCAAAGTTGATTGCTAAAAGATATTAATAAAACGAATATATATTTCTTCATTTTTATTTACCTTTTTTGTTTGCCTTCTTTTATAACGTCATATAACGGTTGGTAAAGATTGAGTCATATTCTGCTGTAATGGTTTGGTTAAAACTCCCTTCGTCCTACCAGTGAGATGAAAAATAAAGACTGAACATGATATGTTTAAATATGCAAAGAATGATAGAGTTCAAGTTTATTGGAAATTGACAAATTTTATTCTCTAACGATTTTAAGAAAGTAGAATATAGTAGTACTAGTTAGAGAACTTTAACATTTTCAGGGAATCAATATGCTCTATCTTTCGATCTTTCTAAATCACAAATAATTTCATTAATCACATAGGCACACGAACAGTAATTTTTTTTTTATATCTAAATTACAACTCACAAGTGTATAGTAAGTTCAAAAACAATAAATAAAAGAAAGAACAATGAAAAAATGACTTGATGAGAATTTAAGACTTATCAAGAGAGAAGATAGAAATGGTGATTCGGGTAGAAATTAGCAGACTAACAAGCAAAACATGACTAGCTATTTGCGATTGGTGATCTCATTTTGTTCAACGATGGCAGACAAGCATTAAATATTTGAGAAATGAAAGTTTAGGTCAGGGCTTCTGAAATTGTGAGTGTGATTTGCTGTTGTAGTTTTGTTGAATTATGATTTGGATTGTTGAAAATAATTTTTTTTTCATGTGATTTGTGATTAATTTTAGTTTAGATTAAATAATGAGTAAGGACGTATGTTGTGGACTTATAAAACTATCGGCCAACAATGATGAACTTAGAGTTTGTTTGGGAGGGATTTTTGGGGGAAGAATTGATTTTGAATAGTGATATGATGAGAAATGTATGGTTGAAAAAGAAGAAAAAATTATTGATGTGATGGAAAATATTATTTTATTGAAAAATGTGTGGTTGAAAATGAGAATTGATTTACTGTAGAAAAATTGAATCCCTCCCAAACAGGGCCTAAATTGGATTGGGATGAGACGGGATTGGATATATTTTATATTACTATTATTAATATTAATAGTTAAATTAACACTTGATTTATGATTAATAGGTTAGGTGTGTTTGAGCCACATTATTTTGGAAGAATGTATTTTGGAATAATAGATTGAAGAAGAATGTGTGATTGAAAAAGAAAGAAAAGTTATTGATATGATTAAAAATATTACTTTATTGAAGGATATGTGGTTGAAAATGAGTAGAAGAATGAGAATGAAAATTTTAATGTGACTCAAACATGAGCTAAATAAACTTATTATATGATTTTTGAACTATGATCTTGAAAAGCCGGATCTAATGTAATTTCCACTTAATTCTATCACGGTAGTGGAAGGACCCAATTTAACAAATAGTAGTANTTTTTTTTTTTTTTTTTTTTGCCCTTTTGTTTTTGTCCTTACTTCTCGGCTTTCTGTTTATGTTTATGTTTATGTTTCAGTTCTTCTTTTTCTTTCTTTTTCATTTTTTTCTTTTTCGAATATATTTATGAATTTGAAGAAGACAACAAGAATTAAGAAAATTAGCATTTCAATTTTCAATTTTTCACCCATTAGTCGTAGGCTAGCTCGTCTTTGGCCTTCTACAGTTTTACGAGAAGGGAAATACGAGTTGATGTGGTTTCGATTTGTGAATTATATTCTACACTAGTAATTGGTGAGTAGTTATTACTAATTAGTGATTAGTGAAAAGTGAAAACTATGGATGAATTTGTGATTTGTCAAGATATTAGATGTAGCCTCTTGTCGGACTAGATAGTTGGAGTGTAACGAGTGTTTGATTGTTGGATTGATTTTAAGTTTTAACTATTTATTACTTATTAGATTGATACCATTTTAATTGAAACGAATTTTGCAGACTATGGAATGATATTTTTTATTGAAACGGAAGTCCATACCTAATTCTTCTACATGTAGTTGTGCATCTAGTACGGCCACTACTTCTAATTGAGCACGTGAATTGTTAAATAATACAAAGAAGTATTGGGCTCAATTTAATGTGGATGATCTTACTTTTGATCCAGAGAAACGTCCCCCCATCGAGTAATATGATCCTAATATCAAAGATGATGTTAAGATGATATACTTGCAAGATGATTTTGGGTTGTATTGAATTGTATTTTCACATATATATAAATTTTACGTTATTCGATCTGCCCATACTGAACTTTTATATTGGGTCCACCATTGATAATGAGCAGCGCATCGTAACAAAAATAAATTCACTTAAACTATCTTCAAAGTTTGTTGAACTAATGCAGACAATTTATTTCCATTTTATATTGAACTCGAATTATTGAGTGCAGATATTAAGTCAGAAATATGCATAGGAAAAGCAACAGTATTGGTGCCAGAACACCAGACCACTTTAAGTGATGGAGCAACGAAACGTAGAATTAAGCGATTCATTTAGGTGCTGTTTGCTACTGATTTTCCACATTCACAATTGTGATTTTTTGACCGTTAGTTGTTGCAGGCGGGTCCCACACAACACACAAAGGGTCAAACATTGCGGCTTGAATTTTTCCAACGGTAGGAATTCTACCATTTCGAGCTATAGAACGAGTATAATATCAATATATTTTATCAACTTCTATGATACTCAAATATTCTACCCAAACTAATTTACGATAAATTTTATACAAAAGAAAATAAATCATTCATGCGAATAAGTAGTTTAAGCTTATCACTTTAACTTTTGGACTTAGGTGCTGTTTGCTACTAATTTTCCACATCCACAATTGGGATTTTTTGACCGTTAGTTGTTGCAGGCGGGTCCCACACAACACACAAAGGGTCAAACATTGCGGCTTGAATTTTTCCAACGGTAGGAATTCTACCATTCCAACGGCTGGATTTCTGCTTTTTAGCAGAAACAAACAGCCCCTTAATTATACTTCTAATTTAATGTCATATTAGTACCATATAGACTGATATTTTAAGATCAGTTATGCTAAATAACATTACTCTTTTTTAAAAACATGATTTTCAATGTTTTTTCATTGTAGGGACCATCAGTCAGGGGCAGAGCCAGGAATGTGTCATACGAGGGGCAAAAATTTTTAAAATTGAATGTATGAATAAAATTTATATATAACTAGAAAAATTGTAATATAACGTTACATATTACAATTGTACCCGACGATATTTTATAGCGTATTCATAGAAGGAATGAATTCTCTAACGAGGAGTTTATTGATCTGCTGCAGGCCATTGATAAAGCACTAAACTAAGCTACCACCAAAGCATACTACTTCTTTCAGATATTTTCTACTTCTTATAATAGTGATACCAACACCAATCTTCTTAGCCACAAACATATAAGTCAGTTAAATAACTCGAAATGTCTTTTCTTACCCGCTTAAGATAGCATGAGCGAATCCACTCGGGAGAAGCATGAAGTGGAGTTCTTTTCGCCTCGACTGACCTTGTCATCAAATGCGTAGAGGGAAGTGACGAAACTATTCTAACATCATTTGCCAAAACATTCTTGAAATGTTCCAAATAAAATATATCAGAAAATTCACTGCACAATCGCAAGAAAAACAAAATGATTTAACCACAGAAAAACAATCTCCAAGACTATTATCATAAAAGAAGGAAATTCAATCTATAACTTAATACTCCAACAAAAACAATTTCAATCTATCAAATTGACAAGTGTTAAAATTTGAGTGGTATTGTTAAACAAAATAGTGCTATCCAAAGCAAACAGAAATGACAAAAACATGATAAGAATATTTCATTGATTAAAGGGCACAAAATGACTTTACTTCATAAAATGGGAGGTTCAATTGCAGAACTTGTAAAAACAAGAAGTAAAATAAAGATTGGAAAAAGAAATGACAAACCTTTCATCACCCCAGATGACATTAACTTGCAAGATGGGCACAACAAGAGTAGCCCCAAGAATTCTTGCAATCACAACAGCATCAACAATTTGATTTCTCTGTTGATTCATTCCTCCTGAAACCACCACCATCAAATATTTTGTCATGTCCTTAACAATCTCACCACTTTCCTTACTGTATTTCTCACTGAAATCCAAACACGGCCTATAACCCATCCCATCAGGCTGCTTCCAAAACTCACTATTCTCATAATTTTTCCCATCTTTTCACCATTTCTCACAGTACTTGTGGGCTTATTGGGCCTCATTTAGGTGGTTCACTTTTAACACCTTTGGGCCAATTGACTTTCAAAATTCAAATGGGTTCCTTCCTTGGTACTCCTCTCCTTTTGTTTTCTCCCAGGCACGTCAATTTCATTGCCAGAGACTAGACTTTTGCCTTCCTATATACACTTCTTTACTCTCTCTTAGAAACTCTCTCCCGCTGCAGAATCGTTCCAGTTTGGCCTTTCATTTTGGTGCTCCATAAATCGACCTTGGAGCCAGTTTCATAGGGGAAATCTCTGGGACACTTAGGCCTGAAAGAGTGGCTAAGTTGTGTGGTATTTCTCGGTGGCTTAGTGGTGATTTAGGACGAGTTCTTCGCTGATTTGGGTAGACCGTTTGGTCGATGATCCAAGCTATTTCAAGGGGAGATTCTTCCGGTTCTCTACACTCTCCCTGGACGGCGAAATGCAAGCGTGAAGGGGCTATTCCTGAGCCTAGTTTTTCAGCCGAAAATAGCCTGCCATTGGAGAAGGAAAGAAGCATGGACAAAGGGAAGAATCTGTCTTCTTTTTAAGCTTCTAATTTCTGTCCAGTTTATATGCTTTGATTTCAGTTCATTTGGTTCCTATACTCTGTTAATTTCTGCTATGTTTATGATAATGATGGATTACATTATTGTATGCTAAGGTTAAGAGTTAATGTATGTTGTATACTAGAGCCTGCTTTATATTCTGATTCAGAGCTAGATGAATTATGTTAGCTAAAGGGCTTTGTGATTAGATTGTGCTATTAATTCCCAACATGGCTTATTGGGCCTATTAAGTGGTTCTCTTTAACACTTAATTGGGCCGGCTTCTATTTGGACCATTGGATGGAGATCAATGGCTGAGATTCAATCTTGGCTAGATATTTTTCTTGTTTGACTTTTGAGCCTCTATATCACTTGGGTTGGCTTCCTTGAGACTCAACCCCTTACTCTCGATCTCTAGTCTGCTCTCTGTTCTCTTCCCGTTCCTTGGCCCTATAAAATCGACGATTGTAGCCTACAAACTGAAGAAACTCTGGTGTAATCTTAGGCCTGAAATAGTGGCAAAGGGGGGGGGGTGTTTTCTCTGTGGTTATTGGTCAGATTTTGGGCTTTCTCCTTGGCTGATTTGGTAGACTATTTGGTCGATGACCCAAGCCAAGGTTGAAGGTTGTTTTGGTGGGTTCTTGACCTCTCTCTCTCTGGACAGCGATTGCGTGGCGTGGAGGGCTGTTCCTGAGCCTAATCATTCGGCCGAATTGAAGAGGAGAACAACCTGCGGGAAGTGAAGAAGAGGGCAGCTGCTTTGGACGGTAAAAGGGAAGTGGAGCTTCAGTCCATTTTATGCTTATGTTCTATCCATTTCATGTCCTGTATATGTTTTGTATTTCAGCTTATTGTTTGTTTCCATTCTCGGTTTATGTGCTTAGATAAATGTTGGAACACATTATATAATGAGTAACTAAGTATTATGGAGCATAGCTTTAAACTGTCATTACATTATTGGATAGAGGGGGTCTTAGTGATTTCTGTACATTTGGAATTGCTGTGATATATGCTTATGATTGTTGAGGTTTTGTGATTAATATTATTGAACTGTCATTGCTAGAACTCTGTCATGTTGTGCATTGATGTTGCATTAGGCTGCTTATTCCCAACAGTACTTAATCGAGTACTCGAAAACCCACTCGAAATTTCAGCCTATTCTTGAGGAATAAGACATAGGTTTCATGAGAAAGGCATTGCTGGATCAAAGTTGAACCACATCTTCGACATCCAGTTGAGAAAGACATGGGCTTTAACCAATTTTTTTTTTTAACAGGTGCTGGCCTTGGGCAAGAGCCCACCCCTATCTCCCCCCATGCCATTAGTCATATATAGTTGGCTGAAAATGATGAAATAGTTTGTATGCAATGTATAAATTATTCAATGAAATAAAATAAAATACAAAAAAAAATTGAATTCATGTATTCTCGATATTAATATAACTAAGGATTTAAAAAAATAATAATTAAAAGTCATATAAAAATACCAATGAGACGTAGAAGACAAATCCAACCAATTTCCAATGTGTCAATTGCCAACGATGAACTAAGATCGAAGTTCGATAATAATAAATCTACTTACCCTTTTATGATGGTCACAAATGTGATTCGATATTTTTATTAAATTGATTGTCGATTTAAGAAAGAACAGTTTTTGATATTATAACCTAATTCAGCTCGTGGCAGATTCCCAACAGTGTCATTTAGTCAAATCTTTTATTTCAAAATGACCAATAATAATAATAATAATAATAAATAAATAAATAAATAAATAAATGCTTATCAAACAAAGTGTGCAAGTCAAGTTCCAATTTTTGGACCAACCAATGTACGAGGATATTAATAGCATAACAAGTTTTACCAGCTGGTTGGTCCTCCACCTAAGTGGTAGTTGCTATTTCTTTAATAAATGAAAGGAAAATTTGTAATAGAGGTCCCAAACATTTCAAAAAAATGCAGCATAATCTCAAACCTTTAAATCTTAGCATATATGTTCTAAACTTTCAGAAATATACGGTAGAATGACACGTTAATGTTTTCCTCCAAAAATCATTAGTTCATCAAAAGTCAAGTGCAAAATCTTAATATGACCAATTTTAAAAAAGAACAAATTTTAGTTTGACCTCAAATAAAATGACAATTGTACACATTCTCACCTAAAATAATTAAAATAATCAAATACATGAAACAAAAGAAATAAAAAAAGAAGAGACCCAATCAAACTCCCCTATAACACCATGTCTCCACTGCAGCACCGTCGACAACCCACATCACCATCGACCACAAACACCTAGAATTGCCATCACCATCAAATTTGGGGTCTTCAAAAATAATAAAAATGAATGGACTAATCACGTACGATTGATTTCAACGACAATCCTTTACATATTGCCCAAAAATTCACGAATACTATTTGGGTTTGTGTTTTGAAATTAGTAAACAACTAAAATTTGAAATCTTATATGAGGCAACTTCCTTTGAAAAGATTGATTTTTGGGAGTAATAATTCCGCAAATTGCATAATTGATTTACTACAGTAATTTGTAAAAGATTATGACACACGCCATTCTGTACCCTTTTTATTTGTCTTTTCCTATAACATTTGTTATTTATTTGGAAAAATGAGTAGAAATTTGGGATGGGAAAGTCAATGAGAGCATGAATATTCTAGGTCTTGTTTGACTGCAAAAAGTTCCATGAAAAATATCATATTCGAGGAAAACGAATTTCACATTGGTTGTTTGATTGCAACGTGAAAATGGAAACTGAATTCCAAGGTACAACCACTTTAAATTACATTTTCTTTGTTTCCATGAAAACGAATTCTTATGGGTTTGGTGAATTTTTATTTTCCAATCAATATGTAATTGAAATTCCTTTCCACCTTTGTCTATCAAACGGACTTTTAGAGAAATCATAACTAAACAAATCTACAATAAATTTAGAGAAAATTTTGAATTAGGCCCATTTGATATGGTTAGAAGAAATTTGAATTAGACCCATTTGAATAGATCTGTGTGTTTGGCAGGGATGAGAGAGTAGGCAGTAGCGAAGATAGGGATAGTTGCGGCGAGAACGATGACAAGTAGTGGCTATGGCATGAGCAAGGCCCGATGGTGGCAATGGCACGAGCAGGGATAAGTGGGGGGTGGGGTGGGAAAGAAGATGAAATATTAATTTTTTTTTTTGTTTCTTTTGTTTAAGAGACTGTCTGGTATAAATTTTTACCACCTTTTAATCAATTTTTGTACCCTTTTTTGTCAAATTTGCGGGGCCCACATCTCACAACAAGGTTTGGCCTAAAAATTTATACCAGACATGTTCTAATTGTTTTAGCCCCCGTTTGACTCCCATTAAATTTGTAACATATTTTTTTCTTTTCTTTTTAACAAGACATTTTCTAATAAAATAATATTACATATAAACAAAAAACCATTTCTTCTTTTTCAGTCATACTTTCTTCATAAAAATATTATTCCAAAAATTATAATATCAAATAATGGTGGTCAAACACTCAAACGGGGGCTTAATTATTTTAGATGAAAAATATATAATTATCATTTTATCATTTTTAAAATCGATCAAATTAAAGTTAAACGCTTGATTTTAGTAACTAATGGATTTTTAATAGAAATCGTTCAGAGATCTTTCTACTGCACATTTTGAAAAGTTTGAGACATATGGGCTATGATTTAAAGGTTTAGAACTGGGCTGCACTTTTTTGAAAAGTTGGAGGACTCTGTTGGAAATTTCCCTAAATGAAATTTATGGTATTTTTGGTATCAAATATCCACTCATGACATATTTGGCTAAGCTTAAAAATATAAAATTTCAAATGAATATGTTTTATGGTATGTGCAAGGAAAATGTAATATATCTAAGCATGTTCGAAATTACATTTTTCAATAAAATAAATTAAATAATATTACACGTGAACACAATTTTTTTTTTTTAATTATACATTTTTCATCGATCTATTATTATAAAATGTATTTTTATAATAAATTGAGGTTCCAACAAGCTCTTAATTGAGTGACATCATGGGATTGCTGTACTTCATCAATTTTCATGAAGTTGCTCATTTTTTTAACAACTCCATCAATGTTTGTCCAAACTTTTTAAGTGCCTCTTTGATTCCCTTTAATTGAAAAGAAAATGAGTTTTGGATATTATTTTTAGGAGAATGTGTGGTTAAAAATAGGAAGAAATTTCAAGATACCGTGTAAAATATTTTATTGTGTGGTTGAAAATGATGATATAGCAAACATTAAAATAAAGAATCAAATAGATTTTTTTAAGCCTCGGCAAACATGCTCTACCAGGAACTTCATATACTATAAGTAGCAATAATCCCAATCTTTCAGTCTGTGCTCTAAGGTGTTACTGTCTGTATACATTCAAGAAATACTTGTATCCTCTTCTCGGCCTTCTTTTAACGGTAAAAATCTCCACTTTCATTGTATTTTCTCAGTTATACTTATATTGTATGAGCTGATCTGAATATTCTTGATTGTGATATGAGTATAGGGATTTCGAATTACTTTTGATAGTTAAAATGGCAAGGAAGAAGATCAGAGAGTATGATTCCAAGAGACTGTTCAAAGAGCATTTCAAGAGGCTTTCTGGTTCTGAATTGGCAATCAAATCTGCCCAAGTAAGTTCCTTTTTTTTTTTGGTGATTTTTATACGTTTTCAGTTCATAATTATTGGTTATCTCTTTCGTGTGATTATGAAGAATTTAATGATTATGTAGAAGATTTGTATGGATGGGGAAGAAATGAATGTATTAAGATTGGTTAAAACCTTATGCATAATTGGGTAGAAAGCTGTAATTAGGATTTACTAAAATTATTTTTCCGTTTTTCATATTGAGATTATGGTGAAGATATATCTGAGGCCTTGCAGATCTCTAATGATTCTTAATTGCATATATGGTTCCACAAGTTCTTTATGAAACAATTGGTAAGAATGGATTGAACGTTGGACACTCTTGAGGAAGAAAAAGAGCTGGAATCTGTATAATCATAGTGTCTCGTCTTATTCAGTACTCTCTATCAAACACATTAGGATCGAGTTTTAACAACCTCGTTTGAAAACGATTAGTGTCCAGTGAGGCAGGCTAAACATTTTCATAGCATTCGACAACCATAATTGGAGTCACCCAACTCATGGACTTAAGAGCAACACGTTGCTTCCCAAAAATCCCTCATGACCAACTAGCTCCGAGTATGGGATAAACTTTTATTGTATTTGACCACTATCATTTGAGTGATCCAATTTATGGGCTTAAGAGTGATATTGTTGCTTCCCAATAACACATACTCATGATGTTTGTTGTACAGTCGAGTTCATACTCAACGTTCCCAAACAGAAGGGAAAAATAATTTCCTTGAAATAATCTAATTTTCTGCAAAATATCATTGGCATGCCTTGTATGCTGTAAAAAAGTTCAAATCTTATCAACCATGCAAAATACTGTCTAGTATAGTGTAGCAAATATGCTCCATTCCTTTATGGAAATATTATAGAATTTCGTACTGCTCCATAGGATTTTTAAAGTCCGTATCTTCTCATATCAACTATTTAGAAATGCAGAGTAGATGCTATATAGGGAGACGGTAATATAGGGCAAGTTGGGGAGAACAACTAAAAAATAAAAAAGGAAAAAAGAAGAATCAGTTGAACCTGGCACATTAGACATTATGTTCATCAAGTGAAATGCATTGGCTGTCCGTTCTCAGGTTGGGCACCAAGGATCGGAGAAGGAATATTCATCTTTTATAAGTTGATTTATGAAAACAAAAAAATGCATTTTCTGGATCACTTCTGCATATGATGCATGCAGGATTTGGAAATTTTGGTCTTAATTTGCATGACGTAGTGTAACGTTCTTTCTAATTGTGGTTTAGGTTACCGAGTCAACTGATTTCAATGAACTGGTCGACAAAGAACCTTGGCTCTCATCAACAAAACTGGTTGTCAAACCTGATATGCTATTTGGGAAGCGTGGAAAAAGCGGTCTAGTTGCCTTGAACCTGGATCTGGCTGAAGTTGTGGCTTTTGTGAAAGAGCGGCTGGGCAAAGAGGTAATTGTCATATTTCTTCACGTCATTTTCTATATTTATTCTGTAAATTAAATCATAATCGTATGCATAAATCTGTCAATGATTTGGACTACAATTCCTCGTGTATACAGTTATTTAATTGTTGGGCTTACACATTTTCGGTTAACAGGTAGAGATGGGGGGATGCAAAGGACCGATTACAACATTCATTATCGAGCCATTTGTTCCACACAACGAAGAGTTCTACCTTAATATAGTCTCCGAGAGGCTTGGTTGTAGCATCAGCTTTTCGGAATGTGGAGGAATTGAAATAGAAGAGAATTGGGACAAGGTCCTCAAAAAACTTCTGTACTGTTACTTGTACAAGTTAGCTAAATCTGGACCTTTTGCGAAGTCTAATCATATTGTACACTTATTGATTGATTGCGAATTGACATTGTAGGTAAGGTTGAGAGGTATATTGCACAATCATACATGTACAGTAAAAACTAAGAATTTATAAAGGGAATCTTTGTTGTGTTAGACAGAGATGTGAGGAAAAAAAAACTCTTGCACAATTTTTCTCCCACATTGTGAAAACTTGCAGCAGCGGTGGAGGTTGTTCTCATCTAGAGAGTGAACTGCTATAAATCTGTGTATTTGCTTTTCATGTTTCAGTCTTTGTTTTGTTTTGTTTATTGCTCTTGGAGTTCTGGATTAAGACATAATTCCTATATCTGTGCGTAATGCCCAACACAAAAGACATCACATTCTTTGTTTTCTATCTTTATTTCATAATTTTCAAAAGCTTTCTTACAATCTAGATTTTATTTTCTTTCTGTCCAGGTTAAGACTATCTTTGTGCCAACAGGTGTATCTTTTACACCAGAGCTATGTGCTCCCCTCGTGGCAACCCTTCCCTTAGAGGTATTATATCTATGAATATTGAGTAGTGAAACTTTTTTGAACATTATAATTACAAGAACATAACATCTACGTCGTTGTTTTATTTTATCCTCTACAGTAAGTTCTGAATTGCTTACATGAAATTGATTCATTTGATACAGATTAAAGGTGTAATTGAAGAGTTCATCAAAGTGATCTACACTTTATTTTTAGGTATGCTCAACCTATTTTTCAAAAAAAATAAAAATTACACGCGAGATACCTAGTTTTTAGTCGTCTGTTGGATTTGGCATTGAATTTAAATTTCTTGCGTGTCAGCTCTGGATTTTACTTTCCTTGAGATGAATCCTTTCACCTTGGTTGATGGAAAGCCTTATCCTTTGGATATGAGAGGCGAACTCGATGATACTGCTGCATTTAAGAACTTCAAAAAGTAATCATTTCCCCTCTTTTGATGATTGCAACTCAGCCACTATTTTCTGCACGAGTAGTTTCTATATAGCCTTTTAAATAGTATAATCAGTATAAGTTTTAAAACTATACAGACATATTAGTCTTTCACTTTATTTCTTACTTGCCTTGGTTTTCAGATGGGGAAATATTGAATTTCCTATGCCATTTGGAAGAGTTATGAGTGCTACAGAAAGCTTTATTCATGGACTAGATGAAAAGGTATGTATCACTGCACAAAATTTTCCAATCGCTGTTCAATTTCCTAAGAGCGTTTTAATTTCAAACATGTAATGAAAACTATGTAGAAACTTGAACGATCCCTATAAAAAATCTTTTCTAATTCATTAGATTGATCTTTCTTTTGTCCTTCTTTGCAGACTAGTGCATCTTTGAAATTCACGGTCTTGAACCCGAAAGGCCGAATTTGGACTATGGTAGCCGGAGGAGGCGCAAGTGTCATCTATGCAGATACTGTGTGTTCCTTGTCTTTTTCATTGTCTTTGCTCGGAAATTAAATTTCCTTCTTTCTATTTTTTGCATTAGTTTCACATGTGATATTTCACTTTATCAGGTTGGGGATCTTGGTTATGCCTCCGAGCTCGGGAACTACGCAGAATACAGTGGTGCTCCCAACGAAGAGGAGGTCTTGCAGTATGCCAGAGTTGTTATTGATGTGAGCACCATCTTGTTGCATAAAATTGAAGTTATAGATTACGAGGATGTTAGGTTAAGCTTAAAAGGTTCACTTATAAGTAAATAAGTTTGTTCCCAAATATTTAAGATTATTTGTTGTTTGAATTGAAAGTAAGATACTTATTTTGACATTAAGGTATTATTACTTTCAAAACAAGTAATATTTTTACTCAGAAGTAAGAAAGAAGTAACTTATCCGAACAAATAAATCAAGATTTTAATCCATGTTATCTAAACAAATCAATCAAGATTTTCATCCATTATACATATTCAAATACTCTTCCATTTAAGTATCGATACCGGCATTGTTCATCTGGATAAAAAACTCGTGAATATTGTACACAGTGTGCAACTGCAGATCCTGATGGTCACAGACGAGCACTTGTAATTGGTGGTGGAATAGCCAACTTTACTGATGTCGCTGCTACATTCAATGGCATAATTCGAGCTTTAAAGGAAAAGGTACACTAACTTTTCAGTATAAATTCGTCATATTTATGAGCTGATAAAATGTGGCACAAAATGTACTGAGAATTGGTTCATGTATAAATGGACGAGCAGGGCTATATTCCTTCATCCTGCTTTACTAAATGACAACGGGAGATAGAACAGAGATAATCCGATCAAACATTATCTGTAGTTTTACTCTTATCACATAGGTCTAAAGTCTAAACAATAATGAGTACATGCCTTTCATATAAATTCTCGTACTACCGAGTTTTCATTATGTACATGCCAAATCATGAATAGTATTTGCATCCAATTTCCAAAAAGAAAATAGAACGTTCCATTTTTGTTATGGAATAGGATCAAGATCTAACCTTATTCCATGTTTTCTACGTGAGGTTCCTCTTTAAGAAAGTCTCCGGGAGGAAAGCTTTGGAATAAAAGCCAAGAATTAATTCGTTCCCTTTTATAACAGGAATCAAAGCTCAAGGCTGCAAGAATGCATTTATACGTCCGAAGAGGAGGTCCTAATTACCAAAAGGGACTTGCAAAAATGAGATCTCTTGCAGAAGAAATCAGCATTCCTATTGAAGTACGATTATAAATACGTAATTTCGACCTATAAGCCTCTTCAAACGAATGAGGCAAATGAGTTGAGAAAAAATATTGTCTTCACTCTCAAACAACGCGGAGTACTGTAACTGATTTTATCTCTATTGCAGGTGTATGGACCTGAGGCAACCATGACTGGCATATGCAAACAGGCAATTGAGTGCATTACTGCTGCTGCATAAAGCTATAATCTCCGGTTACAAACTCTTTTCGACTTGTTTTCCAATACATTTTGCCATTCTTGTTCCTGAAATACGAAGGGAATCAATATGTATTCGAGTTTTGACATAAATCACCTATACATTATCTAAGCTTGTTATTCTTTTCAGTTTTCTAATGAAATGCTTACTTTGTTTCCTCTTTACTTGTGTACTATGGACCACTCTTACTGGCTGTTGTGAATTGATTGCAAGATAATAATAAGATGAAATAAATAAAACAAACAAAAATATCAAGATTTTATGTGGAAACCCAAAATGGGAAAAAAATCATGGGCAAATGAGGAGAATTTCACTATAATCAGTAATAAATGTGTTTACAAATCAAGATCTCAATACACTCAATCAATATTTAAGGCTCTTAAGATATTGTATGAATGTTATGACCTCAATACAAGTCGTGAAGAATATATATATAAATCCTAAAATTCGAGTTGTAGATGAATAGGGGTCTAGAAAACGTTAAAACGCGAAAAGAGCCCGGGCCTAACGTATAAGCCGCTCAAGCGCTAGGCGGACGACAGTTTCGTCGCTCGAGCTCCAATATTTTGTTGAATTTTTTACGACGTTGCTCGAGTGCCATAGCTAGCGGCAGCTAGGCATGTCAAAGTGGCTCGCTGGCTGGGCCCAGAAAAAGCCCTAGTCGAGCTGGCTCGTGGCTCGAGACCACCGGCCCCATTTTGGGGCATAGCCTTGAGCCCAAGCATGTCCGTGTCAAGGGGGCCATTTTTGGCTCGGACCCAATTTCATTTTAAAAAAATAAAATTAGTTGCCTGCAGCAGGCAGCAATCTGCCGCCTGCAAGAGCGCTTAGCTACAAATGTACACTATAAAACAAAGGAAAAAACAAAAATGAGCCGAATTGGTTTACTAATGCCCGAGTCAAAAGCTCGGGTGCTCGAGCCAAAAAAAGCTCGAACTGTGCCCGAGCTTTGAATTTCGGTTTGTCGCTCAGTTCGGCTCGTCGACACCAATAGCGGCAGCTAGCAAAATTGAGGCGACTTTTTCTTCCCGCTTCATAATTTGATCTTGAAGTCCACTTCAACCAAAACTCCAATACTCATTAGAATTTTGGTCAAATTACAACAAATCTTTACCTTGAACCAAATTTCAATACAAAGAATTTCAAAACACATCTCCAAAGTAAACATCACTCCACCTCTTCTAAACAAGCCATAATGGGCTTAATAGATGGCAAACGCCAACTCGGTTCGAGCAATGCTCAAACTTTGTAATAGAAAATGATTTTGTCATCATATCAACAAGATTCTCATTGGTATCAACATTGCTTATTATAATATCATCACGAGCAATCATATCACTCACAAAGTGATACTTCACGTTAATATGCTTAGTCTTCTCGTGAAACATCTGATTCTTAGTCGAAAAGATAACATTCTAACTTCACAATACACAGTAAAAACCTGCAAGTCGTCACCAATTTCATCAATCAATCCCCTCAACCACATAGTCTCCTTACATGTCTTTGTAATGGTTATATAATATGTCTCTGTGGTAGACGATGCTACTGTATTCTACAAAGTAGCTTTTCAGCTGATAGCACAACCTCCAAGGATAAACACATACCCTGTAAGTGATATCCTCTTACCAAGATCATGTGCATAGTCTGAATACACATACTTAATGACTATATATATTTTTATCAAAATGTAAGCAAGCATTAGTAGACCCCCTCAAGTATCGAATATCCACTGTATTGCTTTCCAATGCTCCTTGCTAGGATTTGCCATGTATCTGCTTACTTCATCGATTGCATGTGCCAAAGTTGGATGAGTACAAACCATCGCATACATAAGTGATCCCACTACACTTGAATATGGAACTCCAAAACATATAATCAATGTCTTCATCTAATTGAGGACACAAGTCAGATGATAATTTAAAATGAATAGCCAAGGAAATATTGATAAGCACAACGTCGCTGCGAGCGTGGTGGTTCTGATTGGTGACCCTCGCGCGGTGGCATAACCCTTTCGATATCTCACGAGGCTGTGCCATCTGTGGATGTGCTGTATCGCCGCAGTGGTGAGAGGTTTGGCTGTCGGCAGAGAGGGAGGAGAAGGCTGCGCTGTTTGTGGAGGTGTTATCTCGCGAGGCTATGCCATCTATGGAGGTGCTGTATTGCGGCGATGGTGCGAGGTTGGGCTGCCGGCGGAGATGGCGGAGCAGATGAGGATTGGTAGAGAGAGTGAGAAGAGATTACGGTGTGAAGAAAGGAGGAGGAGGAGGAGGAGGAGGAGGAATATTGAAAATTGTTGCTAGGGTTTGGGGGAAATTAATAAGGATTGGGATGAAAATTGTATAATTAATATTTAATTAAACACGAAATATCTTATTTTTGAAAAATGAAACTTGTGATCTGATTTTTGAATATGGATCTTAAAAAATAGGATTTTGTGTAATTTCCACTTAACTAAAAGTCATTGAAAAAATCCACTACAATAATCACTTTATATTACATGCATATACCCACATTGCATGACTGACAGTCACTGACTTGAGCATCGGAGGATCGATATTAAACAATTTCAATCTCGTCTTAGCTGTGTATTCATTTCGAGAACAACAATAATAGAAGATTCTAGCACAGTTTGATTGTTGGCAATTTTTTATGTCAACATGGGTGAAAACAAGTTGGAGCCAAATGAAGAACAACTTCTCCATACTCCATATTGTTCAAGAACCCGGTCTCCTTGAAGTGGACGATTAGCTTATATTTGACTTAAATAAACTTACTTTATTGTGAATTACTTTTCCTAACTTTTGTTCTAAATTCCAATCAATTGTTTCAAAGGCGTCAAAAGGGACCAACCAACTAAATTAATTAGTTAATTTACTTGGAATTCATTAGTAGAAAACTACTATTCTTAACAAGTCAATTATGCCGTGATAATCTTTTTACCTAATCACGTTTAGTTCGAAATAATCAAAAGCTACCACTTGTTCGACATTATTATTATTATTTTATTTATTTATTTATTTATCGTAACAAGCGTGAAGAAAAAGTAAGCAATATCAAAACTCTAAAAATGAGAAAAAAAAACCACTATATATTTTGATTATTATTGAATACGAAAAATTAAGACAACATCTGAAACAATCGTGTATTCATTCTAGGTTCGTTGAATCTAAATTGTTGACCTACCAATTTTAAAAAAGTTTGAGGCTTTGAGCGTTAAGGTCTCTATCCATCTACCTATTAAACTTCAAGTTTTTCTCTGCTCTAATAGCGTGCATTTTAAGTTATTTTTTGCTTTTGTTTTTGTCAAAACATCATTATTCACATTTCAGATTGGTCCAAAACGGCGTCGGAATGTACCATATTTTTCTTTCTTTTAGTTAGACCAGCTATTCCTTCTCCAACTACGCATTCTCGCCAACAACCTTAATTTTCATATATATAAAGTCAATTTTGGGTTTAGATTAAGATTAAAAAAGTAATACGACTTTATCAAATTGATTTATCCCCCAACAAATACATCGCCATCATTTTACATTTTACAATGCCATCATCAGTCCACTATATATAGAGCAAAATGCTTGCCAGTGAAGCCAAATCCACGAAACACTTTCAAAGATGGCTAGAAGGGAAGATCAAGTGATAGGAGAAAATGGAGTGGAAATTCGTGGAGATATATTAGAAGTTATACTCTCCCACGTGCCACTTATCGACTTAGTGTCCGCCTCACACGTGTCTAAGTCATGGCGCTATGCGGTGGTATCCTCTCTCCGCCACTTCAACAAGACGAAACCGTGGCTAATTCTCCATAAGCAAGCCACTCGTTTCCCATACACCACTTCGATGCATGCTTACGATCCACGCTCACACATGTGGATCAAAATATCCCAACCGTCAATTAAATACAACTCAGCCCTTAAATCCTCCCATTCTAATTTCCTTTACATGCTTTCATCTACGAAATTTTCATTCTCGTTTGATCCTATGAATATCTCGTGGAGTCATGTTGACCCTCCACTCGTGTGGCGGACAGACCCAATTGTGGCACGAGTTGGTGACTCTATCATTGTTGTAGGTGGCGGGTGTGACTACGAGGATGATCCACTGCCTGTCGAGATCTACAACATTGCGACACATGCATGGCACACGTGCGACACCATGCCAGGAAATTTGAAAGACTTGGTAGCTTCCACTTGGCTTTCAATCGCTACCACCAATGAAAAACTCTTTATCACAGAGAAAAAATCAGGTTTGACCTATTGGTTCGACCCTAACACAAAATGTTGGTCCAGACCCAATAAACTAAATCCCAATCAACCCATTTACGACCACAACATTGGGACTTCTAATGACGATTTGATTTTGGTGGGTTTGTGTAAAAACGATGAAAATGTTGAACAAGTGAAGATTTGGAAGGTTGATAAAGAAAATTTTCAATGTGAAGAAATTGGTGAAATGCCTTTGTTACATGTTGAGAAATTGAAGAGCAAGAGTTTTGAAATTTCTTCAATAAATGTCCATGTAACTGAGAATTTTGTTTACATTTACAATCAAACCAAGATGGAGGAAGTAGTGGTATGTGAGTTGATAACTGACAACGGCTGTAGATGGTGGAGTATACAAAATGTGGTGGCGCGCGATGAAATGATAATGAATAGGTTGGTGTTTACATGCTCTGGGGTTGTTTTCGATGAGTTGCAACGAATTATGAGATCGGAGAATCGAAGATTTGAGGTGGAATCATGATATGATCCGTGATGACTAAGTTGAACATGGCACATACAAAATATGCCATAATCAATTAAGTACATTTTTCTAAATTTATTGTCGTTTGTTATCCCCTCTACATGTTAGTGCATAAATCAATTTTTATTTTATTCGTTTCTATTACCAATATACTTTTATCTTAGTATATATCTTCATTTTGGCCATGTTCATCTTATAAATATCCAGTCCTTTAAGGTGTTGCACATATGTGAGAATCG